ATAAATTTATTTCAGATCGCAATGCGGATTTTGTACGCCAGGAATAGCAATGTCACTTTATGCTTTGCTTAGAAATAATCCAAATCCTTCAGAAGAAGAGATTGAAGAATGTTTTGATGGTAATCTCTGTAGGTGTACAGGATATAGACCTATATTGGATGCAGCTAAGACCGTATGTCATTTTTTTTTTATTGATAGGACTTTAATAAATTTCCTAACAAAGAAGTTAATATATAAATATTTGGCAATATATAGTTTGCTAAGTCTGAGAATAATTGTCATGAAGATGACTTGGGAAGTAAGGAAATTGATCAACAACAAAATGGAATAAAGGTAAGTGAGATATATCAAATTTAAATACAAATTCTAAGGTATTATTACTTTGCTGACTTATTATTTATTATAGACATGCGGAAAAGAGGATTGTTGTAAATTGAATAATTCAAATACAAAATGGCAATCTATAATCGATCTCAAATTCCCTCAAGTAAGATCGAATTCTTTGACTTTATAACTTTTATGTTTTTAATTCATATATTAATATTGTTTGATTGTAGATTAAGTTCAAACAATATGATGCAACACAAGAATTAATATTTCCACCAACATTAATAACGTCATATAAATCATATCCATTATATCTAACGGGTAGAAAAACAGAATGTTTTAAACCAAATAATTTAAATGAGTTATTATTACTTAAATTTAGGTACCCTAAAGCTAAATTAGTTAGTGGTAATACTGAAGTCGGCATTGAAGTGAAATTCAAGAAAATGGATTATAATGTTTTAATTTATGTTGGAGATTTAAAAGAATTAAAAGGTTACGAATTTAAAGGTTGGTGCCTTCAAATGTGAAAGAATGAATGTTGATTAAATTTGATGATGAAGTAATTGGAATGATATTAACTTGATATTTATTCTATATTTATAGATGAAGGGTTGGTTATTGGTGCTAATATAATTCTAGCACAATTTCAAGAGATTTTACAGAAGGCCTGTAAACATTATAAGGTATAAAATATAATAAAATATAATATATCTTATATAACAAAAATATTAATAATATTAATTGTTTTTTCACCTTTTTAGGAATACGAAGTGGAAACATTTAAAGCCTTATTGACAAATTTAAGATGGTTTGCTGGACATCAAATACGAAATGTTGCTACACCAGCAGGAAATATAATAACGGGATCACCAATATCCGACTTAAATCCAATATTCATGTCAACCTCATGTAATTTCACTATATCATGCCATAACGAAACTGTCGACACTTCATCCCCTTATAACGTCACTTCGAAGAATATTAATTGTGTTAGTCGAGATGTATCAGCCAATGAGTTTTGGACAGGATACAGACAAAACACTTGTACTTCAACAGAAATTATAACAAAAATATTTATACCATTAAGTCACAAAAGACAATTTGTCAGAGCATATAAACAATCGAAAAGACGTGATGATGATATTGCAATTGTTAATGCTGGGTTAATGATACAACTTGATGATGAGAATTATGTTAGAGATGTCGGATTCGGATTTGGTGGTATGAAAAGTGTTAGCGTTAGAACTCCGTTAAGTGAAGAATGGTTAATTGGAAAGCAGCTCGGAAATACGAATGTATTAAAAGGGTTACTTGGTAGATTAAGTGAGGTACGTTCAGGGTCGGTCTCTTCGAAGAGTGTTATTTTTAAAGATTAATTGGTCCTCTTATCTCCTTTTAGGAGTTGCAATTAAGTTTTAATGCTCCAGGTGGGATGGCATCGTACAGAAAATCATTAGTGTCAGGATTTATTTATAAATTTTGGTATGATATATCTAAGAGTGTAGGCATATCAACCGAAGAATTCGACGAGAATGATATTGATGAATTTATTGGTACAATTGAAAGAAATGTGTCAAAAGGAATACAAAGCGTTGGATTTAAAGAGAATGATAAGAAGATTGTCGGTAAAGAAATACCACACGTGTCTTCCATGAAACAGGTTACAGGTGAAGCTATTTATACTGATGATTTACCTAAAATACATGGCGAATTATATGGTGCTCTTGTATTATCTCAAAAAGCTCATGCTAAAATGCTTAGGTATTTATTTTTTAATATAAATAAAATTTTTCAAAAAAAAGCTAGTTTACTTATTTATATTCCTTTTGAACTCTCCTGCCAATAATTTCATGTTATAGTATCGATGCAAGTAGAGCATTGGCTATACCGGAAGTTAAAGGATTTTTCAGTGCAAAAGATGTGCCAGGAGAAAATAAATGGGGTCCAATAATTAATGATGAAGAAGTATTTGTTAGTGAAGAAGTTAAGTGTGTAGGACAGATAATTGGATTAGTAGTAGCTGAAACGCAAGCAATAGCACAAGAAGCTGCATTATTAGTTAAAATTGAATATGAAGAATTACCTCACATACTTACGATTGAAGAAGCTTTGCAACAAAATAGTTTTTTTAATGATAATACAATGGTTAAAGGTGATGTTGATGAAGCAATACAACATTCTGATTATGTATTTGAAGGTGAAACTAGAATCGGTGGTCAAGGTAAATTATTGGGAAAAGATTTTAATTATTCTAAAAAAAAATATTAAATCTTTTGTTTATCCCTCCCGCGTTACACAGAACATTTTTATTTGGAGACACAAGCATCACTTATAATACCAAGAGAAGATAACGAATTTGAAATTCATGCTTCTACGCAGAATCCAACAGAAACTCAAAGAGCGGGAGCATCAGTATTGGGCATATTAGCGAATAAAGTTGTATGTAAAGTAAAAAGGTTAGGAGGCGGATTTGGCGGTAAAGAAACTCGTAGTGTACCATTAACATTAGCTTTATTGATTGGAGCTTATCACCTAAAACGTCCGATAAGATGTATGTTAGATAGAGATGAAGATATAATAATTAGTGGACAGCGTCACCCATTCCTTGGACAATGGAAAGTTGGAGTCAATAAAGAAATGAAGTTACAAGCTTTGGACTTGAAAGTAGGTTAAATATTGTAAACTAAACTTTTAAGCTATTTACTAATTTATTCCTTAACCCAAAAATTAGATATATATTAATGCGGGATGGTCAGCTGACTTGTCACCAGCAGTTTTGGAGAGAGCAATAACGCATAGTGATAATTGTTATTATATACCGAATATGAGATTGCATGGCAAAACATGTAAAACAAATATACACTCAAATACTGCTTTTCGTGGATTTGGTGGTCCACAAGGAATGATGATTACTGAAAATATGATGAGTGAAGTTGCTGATAAGTTAGGAATTGATGTTGTAAAATTTAGGGTGAGTCCCACTAGTCCAGTTCTCTCGTCAGGGGCATTTTTAACTTGAAATGATTTAACATTCGTTTACTTGATATATAGGAAAAGAATTTATACAGTGAAGGACAACAAACTCATTTTAATATGACATTAAAGGATTGGCATATACCTTCAATATATGAACAAGTTAAAGTATCAAGTGAATATGAAATACGACGTCAAGAAATTAATGAATTCAATGAAAAACATAAATGGAGAAAAAGAGGTTTAAGTTTAATACCGACAAAATTTGGTTTATCTTTTACCGAGTTTCATTTAAATCAAGCTGGCGCTCTTGTTCACATTTACACGGATGGTAGTGTACTCGTAAGTCATGGTAAGTTACACCTAAAGGATACGGAGATTTAAGGGAGAAGTGGAGTAATAGAGTGAGGATAATGTTGCTAAGAATATTTTCTATCTTATCGATAGGTGGAGTTGAGATGGGACAAGGACTTCATACTAAAATGTTACAAATTACTGCTGAAGCTTTAGATATTCCTTTGGAGAATGGTTAGTAGTTTCATATTATATTCATTACTTTATTTTGACATTAAAGCTTTTATTGATTAATATTTAAACTCTGCTTTCAAAAAGTTCACTTAATGGAGACAGCTACAAATGTTATTATAAACACCTCGCCTACAGCAGCAAGTGTTAGCAGCGATCTTAATGGATATGCCGTATTGAAAGCTTGTGAAGTTTTATCCAAAAGATTAAAACCGTATCGAGAAAAAATGCCTGATAAAAATTTTAAAGAGGTATAAATAGATTTCTGTTATCAAATCATATATTCTTTATAATTATACCAAGTGAAGATTCTAACAGAACAAATTATAGATTGTTAAAGCGGCGTATCATGATAGAGTAAATTTATCAGCAAATGGATTTTATAAAACACCAGACATAGGATATGATTGGAAAAAGAAAGAAGGACAAATGTTTCTTTATTTTACTACGGGAGCCGCTTGTACAGAAGTTGAAATTGATGTGTTAACTGGAGATCATACGATATTAAGGACTGATTTAGTAATGGATATTGGTAGAAGTTTAAATTGTGCTATTGATCTTGGACAAATTGAAGGTGCTTTTGTACAAGGTGTTGGTTGGTGTACTATTGAAGAAACTTTATTCTTTCCTAATGGGCAAATATTTACTAAAGGACCTGGTAATTATAAATTACCTGGATTTAGGTAAATAATTAACAAATTGAAGATAGTTTTTATCTTTTTATATGGATAAAATGGTAATTATGTTTGATAAAATTATTTACATCGAATTTTCTTTTTGAATTATTATAGGGATATTCCACAAGATTTTAGAATTTCTACTTTTAGAAATGCTGAATATCCTAATTTAAAAACTATACATAGTAGCAAAGGTGTTGGTGAGCCTCCTTTATTTTTGGGAAGTTCTGTTTTTTTTGCTATTCGTGATGCTATCAAATCTGTAAGGTACGTTACGATGTTTTATGGATTGACTTATTTGAAAATTTTTTTATTTTTTAATAGTTTTATACTCATTTATATGATGCTTTTGTTTTATAATCTTCCTTTTTATTTGACTAATAGAAAAGCAAATAATAATAATGAAGTTGTAGTTTTGAGATCTCCTGCTACTTCAGAAAGAATTCGTATGGCTTGTATGGATGAACTTGTTGTGACTAATTTGGTTGAACAAAAGAAAGATGAAAAAGGATGGATTATCAGTGCTTAAGTACTTATTATATTATTAATTTGAAGTATAAATTTAATTTTCATTATAATAAACAATCACATGTTTGATTTATTTAAAAAATATACTATAAGATTAGATTAAATAAATTGAATTTTATTTTTTATATTTTGGATATTTGAAATAAATTTGAAAATTATTAGATATTTATAATTCTTTCCTATTAATCTTGTTAACTTTATTACTTAATTGATGTTTAAATTTAATATATAAAATAAGGTGTTTCTCATTAAATTATAGATATGTTTTATTAAGTATAAAAGTGCAATAACATTAAAGTATCATAATTGATGTATAAGAATCTATTAAAAAATTAATCTTTTAGGATTATAGAAAAATCTTTTACTTAAAAAAAAAAAAATTAAAAGAAAAATTAAGAAATACAGTATATAGAATAAAAAAAAAAAATAATAATAAATAAATAAGTAAATATTGAAAAAAAAATTGGATTTTATCAAAAGAAGTTTATTAAAAAATATATTTTAATAGATTGGGTATTTATAAGAATAATCTTATAATATTTTTTAGCTTTTTAGCTATTATATATATTTTTTATTTTAAAATATCCTTCATCAATTATAATTATTACTAATTATATATTATTAATATATAATAATAAATAAGATTAATTTAAATAGAAAAAAATATGATTAAACTGATAATTATAAAGAGAAATATAACTTATAAAATAAAATTTATAATATTTTAAAATTATTAAGAATATTTCTTATAATAATAAGAAATATTTAATATTATATGGTACCAGAAATCTATACTCGACAATCATGTGATTTTGTTTCAATTTTCTAACAGCAATCTTATATCACATGACATTAAATGGACTAATAAAAACTAAGGATATTTGTATAACAAAAAATCATATAAATGCAAAAAAAAATTTAAACATGTAGTTTGACGCATTATATATTCTAAGGTCTTATTCGAACTAACTTCTAACGAAAAATGTGAAACGAAGCAATATATAAGCTATATATTTAATATTTGAATTAAACAATTTACAATTTATGATGGTAAAGAAATTATCCTGTAGGATTATATAACTACTATGTATTTTCAATGTTTTTAGGTAATCGACAGTGTGATTTATACTTATTAACAGCACATTTGTCAGTTTTACTCTCTAACCCTTTATCATATGTATCTATATACCTTCATAATTTGCGTGCAAACTTATAAATAATTGTTATAGGAATACTAATGAAGACTTTCAGAACCAGTTTTGATAAATCTGCAAAACTATAACTGCATAACCGTCTGGTTTCTCATTTTACAAAGTCCTAATATCATTTTATAAAGTTGCATTCGCAATAGAATTTTGGGTATCATTCAAAAATATGTTCTACTTTAGTTATTGCTTCTTTCAAGATCGACTGTTATTCACAAAAGTCAGATTATAATGACATTATTCTTCGTGCATAACAGTCTGACCTTTCTAAATTAACTTCATCATATTTTTCAGAACATTACTTACATATCAAATAAATTCCTTTTGTTGGTCAAAGATTACATTCTTTGAGTACTTGCTTAATACTCTTTGGTTATCCTTTTAATTGATGATTATCTGAAAATATTATTGATTGAACACATTTCTTACCATTTTCATTAATATATTAACTATTACGCATCTTAAGCTGTACTCCTTCAGAATCCAAATTCATTCTTATTGTGATAAATGTATCAACTGTCATAGCATTATAGTTTGTTAATTGATTGAAACAAAAAACCCTAATACATCCTGGATACAATATCTCAAATATTGGAATTACTTGATATACAAGCTATATTTGTAATTAAGAGAATTTATTTTTAAAAAGATTTTACACATTTTATTCTAGGTAAATGGATAAAAAAAACCCAAACCTAGTCTAATATATGTTCTAACTTCTAATATCTATCTGTTTGTATGATCAAAAACGAAAACTTCTTTGTCTTTAATATGTAAATTTGCTTGTAACTATTTATCAGATAATCATAATAATCTGTGATATAGACAAAAAAAAGCTAAAACTATGATAAAGCGTCCAATGTATTTCGAGTATAGAATATCCTCATCATTTCTTATCCAGATTTTCTGTTATCCATTATTCTCATAAAAGTGATACTCATCATATATCACTTGCACTATTTTCTTCTCTTCTAGCTTAAGCTATGATTCTAAAACAATATCTAATATATTACTATCGAAATCTTTCATAGATTTCTTATATTTAAACATCCTCTTCAACCATTCTTTTCTATACATTACTATATTTAGCTACTCATGCCTATCAAAATAAACTCCTTTTTTCTTATTATATTTATATTTCCATATATACATATAACTTCAGCAAGTTCTTTCATAAATTGTGTCTTTTTTTATATATCTCATCAATTTTGAAAATACTGTTTCCTTAATATATATTTTAAGGTTTTTAGGAGAACGTGATTCAAGTGCTTGTTGTTATAACCATATTTAGCATTCTTCCTTGAAATCCTCATCATCTAATAAACTTTTCAATTTTGAATATTTTCCTTGACAATAAGCAAGAAGCTCTTCCATTTTTATAAAATAGGCTTCCCATTTTCGAATACATCTCATCATATAATCACCTTTGTTCTACATAATTTGTGTAATATTATTGCTGGTATCCATTTTACTTTATCCATTTAATAATAGCTGAATAAACCTACGTATGCTTAATCAATGTAAATAGTCATAGGTAAAGATTTTTTTATTTTCTTTTACAGATTTTAATAATAAACATTATTTATTTATTTTTTCTAAATGTATATATAGATTATTAATAGAAAATAAAGAATCCTGTGTAATTTTTGGGAATGGTTGTGATAGTGACAAAAGCAAAGAACTTTTTAAAATCAGACGTGATAAGGATGTTTTTTCAGATGCTTTTTCAGAACTTTTAAAAAATGTATCAAGTGCTCTCATTTCCTTTGCAGCTTCTTTTAACTTTTCTTTTTTATTTCTTTTCTTCAGATTGTGATTCTTAAATTTTTAGTATATGCTGCTCTAATGCTATGAGTAGCATCCTTCTATTAACGAAGAGTTTCAGTGATAAGCTTCTTTTCTATTTCCTCAAATTCTCTTAAGTCTTCTCTCGTCTAATCTTCAACAGTCTCATCCCTTTCTATTAATTCAATAATAACTTCATCTTCTATCTATTCTTCATCTTTTTTAACAGCCTCCACTTCTTTCATGATAGTTTCCTTCATAATAATTTGATCTTAAAATATATAGCATCTTATTTTCTAGATATTTTGCTAACTTGCTTTTGCCTTTTTGTTTTACGTATCATTTCAAGAATATAATTAGTTTTTAAATCTAAATGTAAAAAAAATTTGGTTATTGACTTAAAAAAAATTAATTTATTGAGTTAAAAAAAAATATCTGAGTATAATTAATTGTAATAATTTAGGCTGGAGTTAAATTATTATAATATTAGCCTAAATTATTGTAAGTTCTAACTAATAAAATTATGTTTACGTGAGTTGATATTATTTCAAATTTGAGCTGATCATATAAAATCATGCAATTTTAAATGCTTATAAAGAAATATAACTGATAATTTAATAGTACTCATCTTAAAGAATAAAGTTACCAGTTTATTTTTTAAAATTTTATTTTTTTAAAGTACTAAAAGATTTTTAAGTATTACAATTTTATTGTTGAATATAGATTTTTGATACCATATAAATAAAAAAAAAGTTTAAATAATACTGATTAAGTTAAATTATAAAAAATATTAAATAAAAATTTTATATGTGTAAATAATACTTATAAATTTTCTGATTTTAATATATTACATAAGTATTAATTATTTTGTTAATAATTTTATTAATATAAATCAATATTAATATAAATGTTAAATTGATAAATATTAAATAAAATTATTAGTAAAGATTCAGAAATTTTCATAATAAGTATAATTAAGGTTACAAGATAAAACCTAAAAAGTTTTATAAATTATCTAATGGTAAAAAATAAAATTTAATAAAATTATATTAAAATCTTATTAAAAATCAGTAAAACTTAAGCAAAAATAAACTATATTAAAAGCTTATAAAAATGTAAAACTATATCAAAATTTTAATAAAATTAATAAAATTAAAAATTAAATTTATTGTAGATTCAAAATGAATTTAGATAAATAATTTTAAGTATAATTAATGATGCTAAACGAAATCAAAATATTTTATCATATGATGAAATTAAAATACTTTTATTTAAATTTTAAAATTTCTAAATATTTTATTACATAATAAAACAAAAAATCTTTATATTAAAATATGATTATATAGAAAAAATTTCTTTATATAGTTAATTTATTATTAAAATTATATAAATTATGACTGTATAGAGATATTTAATTTTATAAATACTGCATTACTATATTATCAATTAACAGATTATAATATTTAATAATAGTTTTTATTTATTTATTTAAGTCTTTATAATAATAATACAAAATAATATAAAAAAATAATACTATGAATATAATAAAGTTATAAATATTAAAGTATGCTTGCTTTTAACCAAATATAGATTAGTCTATAATTGTTGATCTTAAACATTATGTAAAGATGATAAGCTTCATTTAGAAAAAAATTTTTTTAGTAAAAAATCAGAAAAAAAAATTTATAAAAAAAACTGTGTGAAATTTAAAAAGAAAAATTGAAAAAAAAAGAAATGGTAATAGTTAGAGATGTAATAAAAAATATCAATAGTTAGAGTAAGAGGTTTTTAGTATATAAGTATTAAATAGTAATGATAGTAAGGTAAATATTGCAGATCTTTATAAAGAAGGTGAATTGAAAAACAAGAAGTATTTAAATTTTCTAGTAAAGTAAATATTAAAATTTAGTTTAAATAAGTTTAAAATATTTAAAATTTAAAATAATAAAATTTATATTAATCTAATTTAGTTTATCTTCTACCTTTTACTCGAGAAACTAAAAAATAAAAAGTTTGAATGTAATTAAATTTTAATATAAATATTAAACAAATGCATTTTTAAATACTTACTAAGTTTTTTTAAAATAGAGTTACAAATTGTTCTTCATATGTCTTACTAATTTTACTTTACCTTTCATTAGATTTTCTTTTTACATAAAGTTCAAATAACTAAAAAAATTTATTATTTATAAATTTTATTTTAATTACTAGATATTATAAGCTTTTTAATTAAAATTTTACTTACTTTATATAATCTTTAATTATTTCTTTAAATTTTGTTTGATATTGCAAAGGTGTAACTTTTATATTAAATTCTTCTTTAGTTTATTTGTAACTCCTTTTCAAAAAAATAATTTAGATCTTTCAAGTATATTTCAATATTCAGATTTCTGCTTTTCTTTAATTTATCAAAAGTTAAACTTTATTGTTACCTTAATCAATTGTATTTACCATTTTTAAAAATGAAATTTAGAAAAAATTTTAAAATAAAATTTTTAATAATTAAAAAAAAAAGATAAAGAAACTTTATAAATTTATATAAAATTATATTGATATATATCAGAGATTTAAAATATTTTGCATATAATGAATAATTCTATTTAGTCAAAATTATCTAATAATTGAAAATTGTAATTATAATTCTAATTTTATATGTTATAATTATAAAAATTATTTAATAATTATAATTTTAATAAAATTACTAAATTTTTACAAGATTTCAAATTTTTCATTAAGAAGAAAATACAATTTTTAATATAATATTCTGATAATCATTATTAATTCACTTTTAATTTATCTATAGGTTTATCACTAATTAAATTTTTAGGATAATTAATAATTTTTTTTTTAAAATTTTAATTTTATAACTAAAATTTTGCTTTGATTTATATTTATTTAAAACTTTATTTTTTAAAAGTAATATTAGAATCAATATCATTAAAATATTATTTAAGATAAGTAATACTTAAATTATTATATTTAAATATAAAATATTAGATTCTTTATTAACATTTATTAAAGTTCAAAATTTATATTATACAGAAGTTATTATTATCTAATAACAATTAGCCACATTTTTTGTAATATGTTTAATGAAAATTTGATTTAAAGTTTTGAAATTACAATACATAGAAGTTATTATCATCTAATAATAATTAGCAATTTTTTGTAATATATTTAATGAAGATCTGATTGACTGATTATATAAAAGTTTAAAAAAAAATAGGATAAAAACATTGTTTTGAATTTATAATATTATATCTTATAATTAATAAATTTATAATTTCTTTATTTAAATATATAACATGATTTATCTTTTTAAATTTTTCAAATATATATTAATAATTTATGTTTAATATCATATTTTATGTTTAATTATTTTGAAATTTTATATTAAGTTTTAAAATTAAATATAGATTTTTAATAAAAAAAAGAAAGCCTAGTAATCATCCTCAAAGCAAAGTATGAAAATATTTAAAAAAAGATTCTTTCAAATCTGCTGGTTATTTTTAACTAAATGTAATTATTGTGAAAAGTTTTAGTCTTATAATTATCTAAATAAATTAAAAGGCTAATTAGCTAACAATTATAACAAATATCTAGAATTAGTTTATACATTTTATTTAAATATAGTTTCTTTATGAAATTTTGAAAATATAGATGCTTTACAGTAAAAAAAAAGAAAACTATCAAAAATTTTTTTGAATTAATGTTAAATTTGAATTTATTTTATTAAAAAATAATATTTAGCTTAAAAAGTAAAAAAATTTTTTGATAGTTTCCTTTTTTTTTACTACGAAGTACTTATATAAATAATATTATACTTATATTAAAAATTAACAAAAAAGAAAAATTTAAGTAGAATAAAGAAATTTAACTGATTAATTTAATTCAGCTAATATAAATAACTTTTATTACTCATACTCTTGTATTTATATTTATATATTGTAATATTTCATTCTTAATTATTAAGAATCTATTTTTTATCAAATTTCTTCATAAAATAAAACTAGAATATATTTTATTTTTATATAAATTATTTAGTAAAAGACTTTTAAACTAAAAAATAATATAAGTTAATAAAGGTTGATATTATTATTTAAGAATTTTAAAAATTTAACACTTAGTTAATTTGTTTAAATATATTATAAGATTTAATTATTAATTGATTATTTTATTTTTAATTCTTATAGCACTTAATGGATATATTAATCCAAGTAGCATTTTTACTTATAATTATATAATTTTAATATTTAATTAAAAATAATATCTTTATTACCTTAAAGATTACTTAAATAATTACTATATGAAAAGTTTTTAGTAAGTAAAATTATTAGAATAATGAAAAAATTGGTCTTAAAAAATAGTTAGAATAGTGATATTTATTACCTAATAAAATTTTACTATTAGTATTTACTTCTCACTCCTAGATAAGATATTCTGATCATATGTATATAGATTATTTATCTTTTATAGAATCATACATTATCAAAAGTAAAAGTCAAATAAATTAAAAAATTTTATTAAATAGCTTAAATATTTACAGTAAAAAAATTAAGAAAATTTAAAATATGTTTTAAAATAAAGTTATATTCTAAATAAATATTTTAAAATCTAAAATTATTATCAAATCTTTTTTTAACCTTAAGTTTAACAAGAAATTAATATATAAGTCATCAGTAAATAAGTATCAGGATTTCACAAATATTTATATATATAGCATTATGAATAAGATAGAAAATAATACTTTTAACTATATTAAAGTTTATTATGAAGGTATACAAAAATAGAATAAAATCAAATTTAAGAATGAAACAGAATTGATAATATTATTAAAAATTACCTTGATATGCTATTTAATTTATATAATATATAAATTTTAAAATCAAGATATTCTGAATTTAAAGAAACTCATATTCTAATTTCTTCTATTATTTGTTCAATAGATTCTATATTAGAAATCTCTATTAATATATCAGTCCAAAAAAAGCAGCAAATGAAATAGTAACAGCTGAAAAGAAATTTAATAAAGAAAGAATTATTAAGTTACAAAAGAATGAAATTATGCTTAAAAAAAAGAAAAATACTTATTAAAAATCAAAAAGTGATATAATATGACAAATCTGATTATCTTTTACTTTTTTTAAGTATTTTAATTTATATAACCATATCTATAATTCAATCAAGTTTAGAATAGTAAATAAAAAAAGAAGAAAAAGAGCAGTTAAAATTTAGATAATCGAAAATTTACATAAAATCACAAGATTTATATAATAAGAATAATATTAATAATTACTTGCTATTTTATTATTTAGTATGAAGTATAGTAACTAAAATTTTACAAACAAAAATATGAGATCATTTTGACAGATATTATTGCCTTACATCTATTAAATATATAAATAATTTTGCTTTACTATTTATTGATGCGAATATTTTTATTTCTTAAAATAATAAAGTGAAGATTAGCTTAAGTATACCTGCAGTAGGACAGATATTTTGTATACTATAATTGATAAATAAATCTGTGAGTATGGTAAATCATGATTTTCCTACAGATTTAAACAAAAGATAATTTTATCAGTTTATCTTATAATAAAACTAAATAAAAAAAATGATAATTTATAAATAGGATAATTTACTATCTTAGTTCATTTATTAATAGTCTATTAATATGTTCTTGCACAATAAATTTTAATATATTAGATATATATGTAATTTGATTAATTAACCTGATTTAATTCAAAAAGAAAATTTTTTCTTATTTATTTATTAAATAATATTAAAAAATATTTAATATAAATATTAATATAATAAATAATTATTAATTTATTTAATTAATTCTATTATTTTTAATTTAATAATAAAAATTTATTTAAGAAGAATGATTGGTTAACATGAATTTTATTAAGTCAAATTAGGTTAGGTTAACCTGTTAACCTAATCTAACATTAACCTGAAAATCTATTGATCTGATTTGAATTTTTAGGTCAGATCAGGTCAAGTAAGTAGATTGATCTAATTTAATTCAGAGTTCTATAATTAGTAAATTATATGAAATACTACACTTGTAGTTTTACATAAATATTACAGAATGTAAATATTTTAAGTATTTCAATTAGAAGTATTTTGCAGATATTATAATTAGTAATAGTATAAAGCAGTTTTAGTTAGATAAGGTTCAGTTTCATGAATTATTCAAGATAATTAATTAGTTTTATTACTATCAAATTACAGAACATATGAGATACCAGTGTTATCATCATTGGACAATAGACAATGGATAATACTAGACAAAAAAATGCTGTTTATTATTTATTGATCAAGCAATAGATATATGATAAAGTGTCTATTGTTATCTATTGAATTTGCTTATATTTATTAATATATAATTAATAAAAAAAAATCAACATATTTAAAATTTACTATAGTCTGGTGCAAAAAGATTGATACACCAATATGTTTATAATAAACTTTTTTTTTTAAAACTTAATGTAAATTATTAAATAATTTTATTTGTAATTTGGGTTTTAAGATATAATTTAATATAAGCTTTATTATAGTTTTAAGTTCAATACAAAAAATTTTATTAATCATTAATTTCGTCAATCTCGAAATCCTCATCATCACTATCGGCAAATAACATATCGTCATTTAAATCCTTATATTCTTTGGCCTTATTAAGTGCCCTTTTCCAAAATCTAACAATAACTTTAGAGGTAACCTTTTCTTTAAAAGCATGCAATAATTTATCTCTAATAGCTAAAAGATTAGGATGGGAGCCAGTTCTAGCAACTTTACCTTTTACAGTTGACCAAACTCTCTCGATCAGTTGAAGTTCGCAATAGTAAGGCAGAGTAAAAAACAATTTATGGTCATATTTTGCAGCTATTTGAACACACATAAAAGGAACCTTATTTTTATATAATTTTATTAATTCATAAAGTTCCGCCTTGTTGGAATTTTCTGGAATATTAACAACATTTGATAATAACTATTCAGTCATCATATCCTTTTTTGAGTTTGATGTTGGCACTTGTTCAGCTCAGTGTTTGTGATACCTAGCACTATCCATATGAATATCAACTGATCCATAGTATTCTTTAATGTTGGCGCAAAGTTTATCAAATAGGTCTTCAAATATTTCAGCCGTAAAATTGCCATGGTAATCAATTTGATCAGCTATAATATTGGAATTTCGAATAACATCAGGAATATTATCCCAGATATCAGCAATAGCCCGTTTTCTTCCTCTTGATAAAGGTAGTTTAATTGAGGGATCTCATAACAAAGAGAATTAGGAACAATTTCACCAAAAAGTTTATTAGAATTACCATTATGCATTACAATTATCGCATCAAAAATAACAATTAGAGGTCCACACCAGGTGAATACACAACCCCATAACTTGGCACCCAAGTACGATTTGTAGTATAGTGTAAGTAGCAATATGATTCATCTAAGAATACTTCCGGTCTAAAAGGGACATTATTTTGTCCTGCAAATTTTCAAAACGATACCGTAAATAACGACTGTAAAATGCAATGTTTTGAGAAGATTCATGCAATATATTTCGACGTTCACTCTGACTGAAATAATATCCAAGCTTGTGAAGTATACGAAGTAACTGCCATTTTGAAAGTGTATGGCCATTTTCTTCAAGCTTCTGTCGCAAATTATTTGTTGAAAGTAGCAAGCTGAAATGGTTAGAAGATATAACAGAGGTACGTATAACTTTAACAATATTGTCATTAAGTTCTTTTTTTGGTCTTTCATATATTTTTTGCGGTAACTGTTCATCATTTTTATCTTTATTATATTCAGAAATTACCTACGCAACTGTTGCTTTCCTAATTCTAAGGGCCGTAGCAACCTCCTTGCGTAGTGGTAAGTCTTGATGCTTCTTCTTACTCTATCGGATATCAAAAAAGTATTGATATACATGAATGACCATATTTTTTTCGTTACTAATCAGGTACCTTTGGTCTCGTTTTAAGTTATCCATTTGAAAAGAAAGGCGGTTAAATTTTTTTTTATTTTAAAGTTTAGAACCATCCTTACCTTATCTGTAATTTATATAATCATATGTTTGGTTTGTGAAGTTTTGTGTAACACAAGAAAATCAGGTGACGATCTTCGTGTATCAATCTTTTTGCACTGGACCATATTATTATATTGATAAGGTAGTCTTTATATATTTTCAGATGCCTTTAGGAAAGTCTTCCACTATATTATACTAATGCATTTATTTAAACATATTTATCGAACAAATTAGAAAGATGTCATGACTTTCGGAACTATAAGAAGCTATTGAATAACCACCTTAATGATATGAACAAATTTTCTGATTAAAGACATTCAAAATAGTTTTGGTGAAGTTGTCGGTAAACGAGGATATTTTAAATCAAAAATACGTGTGACGATGAAATTGATGAAAAAACAAGAAGTAATGAATGAGGCATATATTACGATTACTGGACTGGAAGCATACCATCCAACCCAATATTCGACGTCAGATGAATTTTTAAGAGGTAGAGTTGAGCTTGCACGTTAGACGCCTTTCAACCATTAAATTGAGTAAAGTCAAAGCTCTTATAAGTGGGACTCGCGCGAAAACAGTACCGAAAAAAATTAATTATTTCGCCTGAAAGTGGAAAGATATCAGCGATCAATTTATGGCACGATAGTAAGCAAAGTAGCTTGGTATTAATATTCGAACAAAGTTTTTTGCAATAGAGTTACGCAAAATTAAATGGTAGAAATGGAAACAGGAATCTTTATGATTTTGACATGATATTAAATGTCACAGTATATTCATAATCAAAATGAAAATTTTTATTATTTATATAAATACAGCAAATTTGTCCTATTCTATGCTATGTACACTACCCTCCAAAAAGTATCTGGTCAAGCTTTTTTTAAATTTCTCAAGATCAGATATATTAACTAAATAAAATTTTTTTTTTAAAT